GGTGAGTCATTTAACTCCCTGATTCTTTTGTTGTCCATCTGTCACAGGATGAATGACCTGCTTTATTTCTTGGTAAAGGGAATAAATAAACATTTCCTAGGTTTTTCAAAGGATGGTTTGATCCAAATGTTGAATGCCACTGAAAACAAGTGCAATAAGACAAAAGAGGGAAGCTTTGTCTTCATGACAGCTGGAAAATACAAAACATTGAAATATTGTTTGTCCTGCAGGCAGTGTTAAATATTGTAACTGATTTTCGTTCACTGAATGGATGCTTTTACTAGCTTTGTGTAGACAAACCATTTTATTTTATTTTATATCTTTTTTAGTGAGTTGCGTTTTTGTTCACTGAAATTGCTACCAGATCATCAGAGGAATGTTGGCTTCTGAGACCTTTTACCTGTCGTGGTGATGTGTTTGCACTGGACCAATGAACAGGCTCAAGTCTCAACTGATCCCTATTGTGATTGAGAAGTTTCTGAGACAGCTGGTCAGGATTACTGGAGGCACAATATGTGACTGAAGAACAGATGTCTTCTTCGTTTGAAGTTAACTGGTCTGTTTAGGTCTCAACCTTTGACCTTATTCTTATGAGTACTCAGAATGACTCAAATTAACTGGCCCCATTTTCTTCCTCTGATAGCCACCAGGGAATACTCTTTAGAGAAGAAATAAAATGTAACAGGTGTTATGATCTCTACATAGGGGCCATTAATTGTCTCCAATCCACTTTTCTTAAGTTGCAAGAGCATAAAATATAGTGAGATATCGGAGTATTGGGTCGTCATCCATTGTTTTTCATTTTGGTTTGACTGGATAGGATCACTGTCTTTCAAACTTTCTATAGCTGGATGATAAGTCACTATTATTTGATTTGTCTTCTGTAATTTTGGATATTATTTTTTGGATATTATTAGTAAGCTAAATTAAAATGGCAAAAACTTTTGAGATACTTATAAGAGATAAAGATACTCTACCTATGAGGAAATTAAGTCCCCCTTTCGCCCCAAAGACATAGTGAAATGCTGTTGAAAAATGCTTTTCTCCTAATTCTAAAACTGGGATATGAGGAAATAAGGAAACTTACTTGGTAAGGCACAATACCATTATTTTCTGATATTATATATTTTTTTGGAATTGTGAAAGAATAAATTAGGTACCATACTGTATATTCCTTGCTGCTAAAGTGTTTTGCAGTTGTTCATGCTTTTATCACTAAAATTATAATCCAAGTCTGCAGTACCCCCCACCTCATATATTATTTGAAATACAATTTCAAAATTATATTTTGATTGAAAAAGATAAGGCTGACAAAGAGATGTTATGACAGTACTTAAAAAAATGTCATTGTCTTGCTAGCCTCTCTCAGGTGTAAGTAGTTAAGTTCACAAGAGGATAAAAGGTGAAGAATTTTGATCATGCTGGTGGTTTTCATTCCAGTGTTTTCTCTGTCTTCTCCTTTGGTCTATAGCAAGAAAGAAAATTCAGTTTGCCTACTATGTAAAGTGTTTGGTAAATGATGCTGAAGTCCATTCCAAGAGGGAGGAATTCATCTGCTTTACTTTCAAATATTGTCTGATAAAATGTATTCAAACATATTGCTTATAGCATCTGTTTAAATTTAACGAGAAAACAACCATCATCAATATTGAGCTTTATTCCCAGTTGACATTGTCCTAAACCAGGTATATCATTTTGCTTAAAAGCTAGCTGTTTAATATGAAAGTCATTGTATGCTTTCCTATTTACATATTAATATGATTTATTTTTGAAAATATGTATTATCCAGGCTTTTAGTTCATGGAACTTTCTTAGATTCCTACCACCTACTTTATGATAGTCACTTTTGTCCTCCTGAGCTACCTTTCAGGAAGTTAGCTAGATGAATTTATGCCTCTTCTTAGATCTAATTCAACTCTAATTAGTGCTTTTAATCATCTCATATTTCAAAGTTTGAGAAAATAATCTTTGTGGTTGGCTATCCTGAAAAACTGAACATTATAATACATACTTTCGTCAAAACTAAGTTTTTAAATGTAATTATGATTAGTCCTTATTTAGTAAAAAAAGATAACAGAAAAAATTAATATAACTACTATTTAAAGCATCATTATTCATTTAATTATGTTATGGGCCTACATACTTTGCATGCTTATGTTCTGTCACTCTTTTGAATAAAATACTGTAGATATTTCAAAAAATAAGAAAAATAAAGAAGTGAAGGTGGTTAAACTTAACATACGTACAAATTTATTGAGGGAAATTAATGTCCATAGATTGGTCAAAACAGAATTCAAGCCCTGACTCTTACACTTCCTAGATGTGTGAACTTGAATAAGTTACTCAAGTTCTACAAATTTGGATGATATTTCCTCCCAGATAGAGTTATTGTAAAGACTAAATAAAGTCATAAGGAGAGCTTAGTGGAATCATCATCACCATTCCTGCTTACTTTCATGTAGCTCTTCTTCCATTGAAGTGTATTTTTAATACAAGTTACCCATTCCCCATGTATGGCTGAATCAGAAAACTGTGATCATATTATTGCAAGTGTAAAGTAACAAATGTACACTGAACTTAAGCACATCTCATAGGTATGGAAAATGCCAAGGAAACTTGCAAGCCATTATAAAAATGTGGTCCCATTCAAAGATTGTCATGTTAAAGACTCTGCTAAGCCTTATAACTCTAGTAGAGCTAGCTGTAGGTCTCTTTTTCTCCTGTCCCCATTTGTGTCTCTTTCTGTGAGTGTGTTTGTGTGTGAGAGTGTAAGTAGAAGGAAAGAGATTGGAGGATAGGCAATGATCTCTCTAACCTTGTTTACCTCACTTTTTTTTTCTCCCATGGGGAAATTAGGCTAAATAGAGAAAAATAAGCTTAGATAAAAGCCAAAAGGCCAGTGTACTACTAATTGGGTAAATAAACAGTATGCTGTAAAACCTTGTTAATTTGATATCAGGATCATCCAGAATAGCATGAAATTTGAAGTAACTGCGATTCCCCAGCCTTATTAGATAAGATTTCTCCTATTAAGATCAGTCATTTAATCCAGAGTACAAAAATATGGATAATTTGAGGTGGAAATTGGGTCCCAAGGGTACCTTGGTTGCTAAATTGGTTAGATAACTTGAAGTGAATGTCACTTAACAGAGTTAACCACAGAGAAAGAATGATCTGTAAACCACCCTGATTAGTTGTCAACAGCGGAAGAGGGAGCAGCTAGACTATAAAGGAAGTAACCTCTGTGGATGACTTCCTCATATTGACAAGTAATCTGGGCAATTTACTGTTTTCCTTTGAAAGTTCATACATGCTTAGCTCTTGTGCAGGTTTAATGAGATACAGGCATCTGATGCTCAAACTCCTTTGCCTCAGAATTGCCCTTCTAGTCTAATTAACTGGGTTTTATGGTATTTTTATTTGTTTTTTAGTCTCCTTTCTGGCTTAATTAAAAGAGACAGTATGATAAAATGGCTATTTTCCTTGTGTATGCACATTCTTTGATGCTTGCAAGTTTAACTTGGGCTTCTGGATAAGAGCATCACACATTGAGTTGGAACATGCATTAGGTTCCAGGTATCAAAGTTAGCTTTAGTTTGACTTTGTGAGATTCTAAAAGCAGCTGTGCTTTGTTGCACTTGCTCAGATCTCAACAGTGATTTAGTTCTGAGGATTATATATTTGTCTCTTATGTGTCAAAAGTCCTATCCCTTGTGACTTTACAACTCTGTTTTTGTATTTAATGTAAAAGCATGATAGCTTCGCATTGATGATTGTCAGCAGTTGCTATTTATCATCTGTCAAAAGTTTTTCTCATAGGAAGGCAGAAAATCAAATGGATTATGACTGTTTTTTTAGTTGCTTCAAGGAATCTTACATGACACAAGGCAAAAAAAAAAAAAAGGTAAAATGACTCTTTGACAAGTAACTTAGCATTCAGATAAATCTGTGATTTTATGCACATAACAGAACTGCCATTCACCCTGACAAAATAGCATATTTAAAATTGTTATGTCAGTTTGCTTGCTTGACCTCTAGGTCACTTTACCACCTGGCCTCGTGGTTACATAGTTTTATAGTTACTTACATTTCTTGTGAGTGGTTTGATGACACCTCTGAAGACTATGAAAGGGAAGAAATGATCATTGGATTTTCACTGGTTCAGCTTGCCATTTGCTTGTTCAGATTATCATAAATATTGGTAACCTATCAAAACTGAGGAGGCCAACCTCATTGAAAATAGACCAGTGTAATTTTAGTAATTGATTTTTTAAAAAACTTGTTGCACAGGTATACATAACTTGATATATTTGGAGATAGAAATAATGATAGAATTGGACCTGAGTGGAATCAACCACATAGACATTTTGGAATAAGAAACATGCTGCCCTTATATAGCCTTATAAAATGTTAATTGTGTTTTTGAATATACATGGTTACCAAAAGACATGGAATTTATAGAACCTCAGGTTACTTGAAATATTTTTTTTTTGTTTCCAGGTTTTATTTCAGGGAGGAATATAGAAACATATTCCAGGGGAGAATTTCTCAACATGAGCAACAATGACATTTGTTGGTGGAGGAGGGATTGTCCTGCAGATTGTATGCTTCTCTGCAAAAGACCTAGGACATTAGATGCTAGATGTCCCCCAGGTGTGAAAATCAAAAATGTGTACTGGAGGCAAAATTTCTTCTGGTTGAGAACCACTGTTCTAGAGGTAGGGAAACAGGATTTCATTCATTTCTTTGTAAGAGATTTGAATGGGATTTTTCTTGTCTCAGAAATGCAGCCAGAACCCTAGACCGAGCAAATGGCTCCAAGTAGTTCATGTTCTAAGTTTAAGGGGTTACCACAAGTTGGGTCAAATCATTGCCCTGGAGAATGGTTTAAAACTGATCCTTCCCTAAACCCATTTGCATGCTCAAGAAATCAATGTAAAAATAAGACTGAGAACAGAGGGAATTTTTGTGGGGTTTTTTTTCTTTTATTTTTGTTTCCTTTTTTTATTTTCCCAAGAATTCAGTGTTTATGACAAAATGCTAGACCTTCTTTTCTCCTGAGAGTGGAAAAGATGACTTTATTCTCCTTAAAGTCAAAGGAAAATTTCTAAAACAAAACAAAAAGCATTCCTACAGTGTGTTGGCTGCAGTTAGGAGTCTAACATTCCTTCCTCAACTCTATGTTGAGTTGTAAACACCAGTTCCCACCCTGTATTCTCCAGGGCACTGGAGAACATTGTGGTGTTCTGGCACAGCACTCTGGAAACTTAGACAAGATACGATGGCACAGCATAATATTCAGTCTCCTCCTTTATCCTTGAGAAGAAAAAAAAAGATATGCTGGTTAGGTATTCTATGCAGAGTCTATTTTGGATATCAAAATTCTCTAATTCAGGTCTAATATCAATGGCTTAAAGATCAATAATACTTAAAGGTAAAACAATATTGTGTGTTTTGCAAAATATAATGGTACTTCTCACCCACCCTGTTATTCCACAGCCTTCTGTGGTTCTACAAGAAGGGGTATGTGATAAGCTGTATCCTAGATAGCTGCTTACCAAGTCACTCAGTTCCTGCATTGGCAAACAGACAGATACCTGGATCTTAATGATAGAGGGAGCCAGAGTGAAATCACCACAATGGGAGCTTCAAATGGGTCCAGAATAAACCAGAGTGAATCCAGGAACATCTCTCCACCAACGTGTGATGGGGCCAGGCAAGCAAGGAGACCTCTCTTCTATTGCCTCTTCCTTTCTCCAACATGGAAGTTATAAAAAAAAAAAAACAAAAAAACAAAAAAACAAAAACAAACAAACAAACAAAAAAACCCTAATAATCATACTTGAGCCCCCAAGCTCAAATTGTTTTCTCTACAAATGAAAAGCAGTTTCTATTGTCTATAATTGTGCAATCAGAAGAACATTATATATTTTTTTATTGTTAGTTGTTCAAAACATTGCATAGTTCTTGATATATCATATTTCACATTTTGATTCAAGTGGGTTATGAACTCCCATTTTACCCCATATACAGCTTGCAGAATCACATCAGTTACACTTCCATTGATTTACATATTGCCATACTCATGTCTGTTGTATTCTGCTGCCTTTCCTATCCTCTACTATCCCCCCTCCCCTTCCTTCCCCTCCCCTCTTCTCTCTCTACCCCCACTACTGTAATTCATTTCTCCCCCTTGTATTATTTTTCCCTTTCCCCTCACTTCCTCTTGTATGTAATTTTGTATAACCCTGAGGGTCTCCTTCCATTTCCATGCAATTTCCCTTCTCTCTCCCTTTCCCTCCCACCTCTCATCCTTGTTTAATGTTGGTCTTCTTCTCGTGCTCTTCTTCCCTAGTCTGTTCTTAGTTACTCTCCTTATATCAAAGAAGACATTTGGCATTTGTTTTTTAGGGCTTGGCTAGCTTCACTTAGCATAATCTGCTCTAATGCCATCCATTTCCCTCCAAATTCTATGATTTTGTCATTTTTTAATGCAGAGTAATACTCCATTGTGTATAAATGCCACATTTTTTTTTTATCCATTCGTCTATTGAAGGGCATCTAGGTTGGTTCCACAGTCTTGTTATTGTGAATTGTGCTGCTATGAACATCGATGTTATATTGATAAATCTGAAGCTTATGGTGCTTTCTCTTTTTAGAAGTTATTATTTGAGGCATACCTCCTACATTCATGACCATTGACATTAGACTCAATAGTTACTTCTCTTAGTCCTCTGAATTCAAGCATCATTAGATATTTAACCTCACTCATGAGAACATTTCTTGAACCAGCCATTGGTTAATTATTTCAGTATAATATCCTTTTCTGACTTCTTTAATATTAATTTTTGCTAAGAAAAAATCTCTTTCCAAGATATATCTCTTTAAGACATCCACATCATCTGGATGTTGCCTTTCTAATTTTCCTCCTTCTTTAATCTGCCATTTTCCAAATTCTCTTTCCCTCTCTTTATACTGATATTTGCATTTCAAATACCCAGAGCTCCATCTGGCCAGAGCAGAAACCTCTTTGGAAAAGTGCAACAAACTAAGAGTGTAAAGGCCAGAGCCCTCTTAGAGAACATATAATTTGGAACTGTAGTACACTGATAATGTTTATCCAATCACGGTGTCCTTCTGCTGAGGATTCGTGGCCCTGAAAAGGGATGAATAATACTTATATGTGATACTCAGACACACTCTCTGTTTCTGGGCCACTACTATTGGGAATGTGCATACTTCTTTTTATGTCTTTTGGCAGCCATTTCTGTCTCAAGTCATCAGAGTTGATTTCTGCAACCTTGGAATGGGGAATTAGTGTTTCAAATATTTCCTTTCCAAAAATAAAGGCCAATATTTCCTGAGTACTTACTATGTACAGATTGCTCAAAATTTGTGTGTATCTGTGAACTTTTAGGTGTAACATACATGTAGTCAGAGATGAAACACAATTGTATAGCTTGATGAGCTATTACAAAATGAGCCTAGCCATATTCACTGCCACCCTTATGGTGACCTGTGCTAGCACTAGCACATAATTCCTTTGCTTGCCTCCAAATGTAATTTTTTTCTGGACTTCAAATGCATATTTTTTGCCTCCTTTAGAACTTTATATAAAGGAAGTCACAGTGTACCTACTCTTCTTTATTTGTTTTCTTTAACTCTCCATTAAAGGTTGTGCATCCTTAATCTGAAATTCTTCAAAATCAAAACGTTTTGGAATCTGTCATGTTAACTATGTAAATGAATGAGAAAGTTCTTTATAAATAATTTTGATTATCTACAAAATAAATGAAAAAAGTAAAAAAGCATGTATATACTATCTTACTATTGGTGCAAAAGTTGGGGAAATATATGTATATGTATTTGTGTGTGTGAGACTTTTTTTTTCCCGGATGGAGTCTATAGGAACATAATAACATGCACGAAATTGATACTAACTATTATTGATGAATGAGTAAATACCAGAAAAAAAATGGGATGGAAATTTATCACTGAATATTTACCCTCCCTCCTGTTTTATTTAAATTTAAAATAGAGTGCAAATGCTTTGTTTATCAAAAAGTATAATAAATATATTTTAAAATTTTGCTCGGAGGATAGTAGTTGTTCTGCCTTTTTTGTTTTCTAGGGCTATGACACAACTATGATTTATGCTGAAAAATTTATTTTTACCATCATTATCTGTTTTATTATTCCTGGTGTGGCATTAGTCCAATCACTGAATAATTAATTTCTACTATATGTCACTAGCATGTGACTCTAAAACAGGTCAATTTTTCTTTAGAAGTCAGACTATATAACAAGGGGCCTTCAGCCTTCAATTTGCAGAAGTCCCTTATTTCTCCAGCTCCTGTTCTTTTATAACTTAGAAATGGTCCCATGTGCTGCATATCTGTCTTGGAATCACTTGTTATCTCTATCAGACATTTTTTGAAATGTACACGTGTCAGAGCATTTCAGATTACATCTTATCGTTTGGTTATTGTCTTAGCTACTCAGCAATCTCTGTAGACATTTCCTCTAAGAGTGAATTTAGGCCTCATCTAGAATGTTCTAAAATCTGAAGCATAGTTCAAGCTAGTGTGTAATGTTTAACAAAAAAATGTCCTGAATGCTTAGAGTCACCAGGAGTATGTAGTAGAGATGAGTTGGACTATGACTGAAGTTGGACAGACTTCTTAGGACTCAGAAGCCCTGCTAAGCACTGGGTAGCCTAGCTCTGAGTGGCTTTTTACCAGTTATGGCCCAACCTAACCTTCACCTATGAGAATTTCCAAATGTCTCCATGTGTCAGAGTCCAGGTTCCCAACCATTTCAGTCACAAAGAAAGAAGTCACTTTTCCCTCAAAATCTAGTATCTCATTCCTAGCACAGTGTCTGACCCAGAATCACAGATTCAGAATAGACAGTTGTATGTCTTGTCTTTAGTTACTTCCTCATATCAAATTAGTAATTGAAGATGGGCATGGTGGTGTACACATGTAATCCCAGCAGCTTGGGAGGCTAAGGTAGAAGAATGGAGAGTTCAAAGCCAGCCTCACCAAAAGTGAGATACTCTAAGCAACTTAGTGAGACCCTATCTTTAACAATATACAAAATAGGGCTGGGGATGTGGCTCAGTGGGGTGGAGTGCCCTTGAGTTAAATTCTAGGTATCCCCCTCCCCCAAATTAGTAATTGTGAATAATACCAAGAGGTACTTAAAAGATGATTTTACTCTTCAAGTCATGCCAAAAAAGTGACCTTGGAAAGGTCTAGATGAGGCACATCTCTTAACTTTAGACTAGACGTTTGGTTGTATCCCTGAAAGGAATGTGTATTCTTTCAATAATTGTGCAGATCCATAAAAAATGCTACTAAGCAGGACACTCACCCCTTAAATCTATAGTGTCTGTATCCAGATTTCAGTGCCATCACTATTTTTCTCCAAGAACCATCAAGAGCTGTTTGTCTTTCTTCATGAAACTTACAAGGTTCACTTACTGATTTCTCAAATAAAAAACATGAAGGAGAACTGATGTCTTTGCTACCAGAAACCAAATACTACTAAGTTTTAAATAGCCCCTCTCCTGCAAAAGCAAAAATCAAGTTAGCAAAACAACACAAGTCCAAAATCAATCAATAAATACAAGCCTTTTGTTTTCCCCATTGCACTTGTTAATCTTAGGATAAAACAGCCATTGCTTTGCACCAATAAGAAGTTCAGTGGCTGCCTTTTTCTTGAGTGGTCTTCTCCTACAAGATCATGTTCTTTCTTTAGGACAGGGTCCTATAAATCTACAGGGGAGGAGGCATATCAAAATAATTTCAAAGGGGTAAATTCCCCTTGGGTAGACTTCAAAATGTATTAAAATATAGAAAACATGGATCTAATTTAACATTCCCTGCAGGATCCCAATACATGTCCCTCTTTTTTTTTTTAGAGAGAGAGAGAGAGAGAGAGAGAGAGAGAGAGAGTTTTTTTAATATTTATTTTTTAGTTTTCGGGAGACACAACATCTTTGTTTGTATGTGGTGCTGAGGATGGAACCCGGGCCTCACGCATGCCAGGCAAGCGCGCTACCGCTTGAGCCACATCCACAGCCTTCTTTTTTGTTTTTTTATAATTTTTAAAATTGTAGATAGACACAATACCTTTATTTTTTTTATGCAGTGCTGAGTAACAAACCGTGTGCCTCACATATGCTAGGCAAGTGCTCTACCATTGAGCCACTACCCCAGCCCACATGTCCCCTTTATCTCCCTGTCTAACCATGAGACATGGAGCAGTGCTCCCTCAGTAGAAATGGGTGATTTGCCCACTTAATATGCTGACCTGATTATTCATTCTTTGTAGCTGCTTGTAATAAGATGTGTGTTTGGGGTTTTTATCCATGGTTCCTGGCATATTGCTTTAGTAGTCTCCATTATTTTCTAAGTGACTAGAATAATGTTTGGGTGCTTTAAGCCTCAGAGTCAGGCCTTGAAAAGCTATGTCTCTTCATAAAAACCCAATGGAACAGTGTTTTGAAAGCTTAGATAACTGAGCACAAGGAGAAGGGCACAAAAGCAGAGCAGGGACTCCTCCATGTGCCAGGTCAGAGGCATCACCCAGATCCTGAGCTTGGGCCATTACCCTAACATTCCAGACACTATCCCAACAACATAACATGTCTCTGAGTTCTGTGAAGTACCCTAAAAAATTAATTGAATCCGAGAAAGAGGTCTTGGGAACTGCAACAAGAAGCCAGTCCATCAGAAGTTCTGGA